GCCCGCACTGGGGAGCAGGGGAGGAATGGTAGAATGGGGGCAGGAGGAGGATGACAAGGAGGCGGAGGAGGGGGAGGAGGAGGAGGAGGAGGAGGAGCAGGAGCAGGAGGAGCAGGAGGAGGAGGAGGAGGAGGAGGAGGAGCAGGAGGAGGAGGAGGAGGTTGATGCAACGCGGGGCTTGGGACATCCGTGCTCCACTCCACTGCTGACACGCATGCAACTCTTATTACTAAAAGAAGCAACGTACAACAATAAAAAAGGAAAGAGGTGCCAACCCATCCATCTAGCTGCCGATGAGCCAGTTGTTCAAGGCCGAACGTGCGGCCTCCCTCGCCTCCTGTCGCCTACCCTCCTCGTCTGGGGGGGAGGCCGGGGCGAAGCACGATGGGGTGGGCACCTGGATTCTGCGACGAGCCGCCCGTCTCTCTCTGGCGAGAGCTCGGTGGGCCGCTATGCGGTCACGCTGCTGACAGGTGAGCACGAGAGGGGCGGGAGGAGGCGGCGAAGGCGACGGGGGGGGGGGCGGAGGAAGGAGAAGCCACTCCGCAGCTTGCTCCTCTGGGGAGCCATGCACAAGATCTGCGTACTGCTGCTCTGCCAAAGCCTCCTCATCTTCGCCATGCGAGGGAGGCACGCAATCCTGCTGAGATCTGTCCTCAGCTCCAACATCTTCATTGTCCGAATCTTCGAACCTGTGAATTTCAGGATCTACTCTACTAGTACCCTTGTGCGAGAAGCCTGCAAAGTCGGGAGCAGGGCTCTCCTGCGGTGGGCAAGAAATCTGAAACGTGGCGTAGAATACAGCAAGCGATTCACGGATATCATCATCATCCTCGGGATAGTCCAGGTCTTCGCGGGGCGGGGTGGAGGACTCAGCCGAGGAAAGGAGAGACCTGGCACTATCCACGATGGCCGAGGCGATCGCCTGGCACATCTGAGGCGGGTAAGTCTTCTTAGAAGCCGTGTAAAAAGAACCCGAGGCCCTTTTCCCTAAAAGGGTCTGATGGGAGCCTCTCGGGTGAGAACATCTACCGCCTCCTGGAGTGGCTCTAAGGAGCCTATCCATAGTGGGCATGCGTACTGAAAGAATAGTAGTAGGGGCACGGCCTATTTGCCCAGGGTCCACCTCGGGACCTTGGTGCTCACATTGATCAAATGATGTGACCGCGGCACTTGGGGCCGCGGCCAGGGCCTCTAGAGGCCGCCAACGGAACGCGGACGGGGCCCTTGGGGCCCACGTGGGGTTGGCGGGATGCTCCGTCCAACCCCCCGTGCCTGCCCTCAGATGCTCCGCCAAGAGCCAGACCATTGCGTGCAACAACTGAGACCCAATACGAAGCTGTTCGGACTGACGCTGAGACACCCATGGTAATCCCCACATATACTGAGTAGACCTGAGAGGGGGGGGCCTCCCTCGTGCCACCGGGCAGCTGACCAGGTTTCACAAGGAGGCCCCCCCCCAGTGTTGATGACCCTGTGACAGCGTATGTGCTCCACCCATTCAAGAATCGTAGCCTCCTTCGTCAAGTCCCCCCTGTCAGCGTCAATGGCAATGTCAACGCTGAGAATCACTAAGTGAAGGTCGGACGTAAGCGTCTCATGCTCGAGCTGCCACTGGACGTCGCCTCTGCGACGTTGCCCGCAGTAGAGATGTAGAACGTACGCCGTAGGTCGACGAATGCGAATAGGGACAGCAGAAGCCAGAAACTCGGGATATTCACCAGGGTTATAGACATAGAAAGGAGTCTCTGGGACCACGGGGATCACCGAGGGAACATCCGAACAAATAGTAGTATACTGCTGGATGAGGTCACCGGGGATGGCGGGGTCAGCTTCCAGGAGAAGCTGTAGGGCATCATGGTGCGAAAGATGTGAGGTGAGGGCCACAACATCGGGGTCACGGGAGAAGGCGGGGAGTCGTGTAGCGGGGACTTCGATACGCCACCTCCCCTGTCCACAAGCCCGTTGATTTCGCATTCGTACGTCCTCCTGCTGCTGAAGTGCGGTGGCTTCTGCTACCGTGCACTGCGGAGCAGACACGATGAGGCCAATTGCACATGGTAATGAGTCGAATGCAAGGTGCGCCGTGAGAGCAGGCCGATGTGCAAAAGACTGAAAGCATGTACAGCAGGAGAGAGACGAACCCTGACAGTTACGAATGAACGATACGCGTGAATGATGTACGCGCTGAATGTGCGTTCGAAGCCCTCTGATGCGAGAAAATGAACGCGAGCACCACATACACGTGAACACATTGGCGTCCTCTCTCTCCTGCTGGCGTAGGCGATGCCGTGGGTCGTCCCATGCCGGTGGGACCCCTGCTGATTCGAGTATCTGGAATATCTGGTCTTCGGCAGCCCGAGCAAGAGTGTCTCGCTGGATGTGCCGAACGTGAGAAGCCAACGCCTGCCTAATTGTCTGCTTCCATCCCAATGCTGACTTCTTGGCCTCCATCTCCCAAGACTGTAGGTTCTCGAGAGGGTCGGGGAACTCCTGGAACCTACGGGTGTACAAACGCAGCCATCCAAGATCACCCAGAATCATATGTCCCCAGGTCCTGGAAGTCTCAACCATAGCGGCGTGAACTAAAGCCATAATGTGGGGCGGGCCCGAGAGCAAGAGGCGGCCAAAAAGGCGAAGCCTGTGGGCAGACAGCAATGCTTCGAGCGGCGGGCGGCCCACTCGCGCAAGAACATACTTAGACGGCATGGCTGTATCATCCGCTCGTGGAAGTCTGGCAATAGCGCGGTAATAACGGAGGAGACCGTCCTGTAAATGATTATGCTGTGCCTGGGTAAGAAAGCCCCAAGTGCTGGATTGAAATAATCTCCCAGAGCAAACCAGAGAATCCAAGAAAACCAATGCAGTCTGCATCTCGATGGTTTTGTGCTTAAAGACCTTGCCTCTGAGAACCTTCCAGGCCTGCGAACATCCCGAGAGACGGTGGGCCAGTTCTGGCCCCATAGACGCTGACATATCATGCTTAGTACCAAGATGAACATACTCGTGAACCCGATGAAGACACATGGGCCCCAAGCTGTGTGTAAATGTATGTATGGTATTGTGCAGCGTCTGTACCAAAGTACGTTTGGCCCCTTTGGAGGAAATGCCACGAAATTGAAAAAGAAAGGCAGACTTGCCTGGTTTGACGTTGACCTGAAGGCCCGAGGCTGAGAACGCGTCAATGACCACGGAGGCAATAAACGGCGCTTGCTGCAATAAAATACTGGCACGGCCTTCAAAGCAGAACAGGGCGTCATCAAAGAAGGCGCCGTCCATAGAGTGACATGTGTAAACTGCTGGCGGCTGCTCCGCATTCCCCTCGGTGTAGGACGCGAGAGACGAGACTAGGTGACATGGAAGACGTAGCCCAACACCTAAGGCGAGAAGACCTTCCTGGGCAGTGGCCATGATTTTGGCCATGATGAAATTGAAAACCAAATCGCCCAGTTGTTGTCCAGGACCAGAGCCCAAACAGGGAAACGCCACACCTGAACCATCTTGCACATAAAACCAGGATTGATCATACGCATCGGAAATTTGGCCCCTGCGAAAGGCCGAAACACCGTGATGTTCGAGCAGGGGGGTGGACGATCGTATGGTTTCAGCCAGGTCCTGGGTGGCCTCCGGAGGTAACCCACAGAACTTGAGTAGCTTGGCGATGGCTTCGTCATTGGCCGAGGTACGAAATATTAGTTCCCGAACTGATTTGTAGAAAGCCTGAACAGCATCAATGAACAACATCATCACCGTGTGGTTGCGCGCAGCTGCAAGTTGTTGAAACACACGGAGTTCGAGCGCTGAAAACTCAGTACCGCGACCAGCCAGGCCGCCGAACTGTCGGTCCCCTGCTGCCTGCTCGAGCTGGGACACCACACTTTGACGAGTAAGAGCACGAAACCTCTTTCCCACTTGAGAAGATCCTAAGATGGATCTGTAGTTTTTGACATTAGAGGGGACACCGGCCTTGAACAGACTCCAGTAAAACCCGCCTTTCCATTGGATAGGTTCACAAATACGGACCGTGCTCTTAACGTACAGTGGGTGAAAAAGGCGACCGATCTGCAGCGCGAACTTCTTAAGGACTGCTCCCGCGATGCCGTCGGGGCCTGCAGCGGAAGCCTTGGCACGAAACAGCGTCTGCTGGGTGATACCGAGGGACGGGACGTCCTCTATGTTAATGTCCACGTTATGCGTAACGTCAGAGGTGAGGGCGGGGAGGGAGTTCATGTACCATGATATATCAGAAAACGGGATAACTGGCGCCGCCTCCTCTCCACTAAAATGCTGAAGCCACCGATCCGCGACCTCGATGTTCGAACGAAGTGGCTTGCCCTCGAGTCCCAGGAGCATCGGCATAGGCCGAGCTGATTTTTTGCGACGCGAACAGGCTCCCATGGCCCGCAGTTTGGCAAAGGACTCCTTGAAGTCCTGACGAGACCAGGCTGAAGAAACTTCTTGGGCAAGATGTTTTGCGTGGGCCTTCGCATCCTGGTCAACGAAGTGCGTCACATACCTTGTCATAATTTCAAGCGCAATAGCACGTGAGGCCAGACCAAGGCCCGATAAACGAACGACATAATTCCAGCAGGACGCATAGCCCGATAGGGCCGAAGTACCAGGACGAACCCAACGCATGTCCTCCAGAGTAGCGGGGCTAGAAAGCCGATCCAAGACAGCCCCACCAGTACGTTCCCAGAGCCTGAAATATACGAGGTACTTATTCGATTCCACTGCGAACCTCACATTGGAGATCCTCTCGCCTAACATGTCCCGCAGGCAGTCAATGTAGTAGAAGAGCTCGAGGAGAGTAGGCCTGAGGAGGGAAGAAAGCTGGCTCGCACGTGAGCCCCATCTGGTGCCAAATACTCCTGGTGTTCGAGCTGACAACTTCCACTGCCTGGTGCGTAGACAAGCCCATGGACCTCGAATGGGCTCAGCCCAAACATGGAATAAGAGAGCTAACTGCAGCTGTCTGCAAGCAAAGCCTACCTGTCTGT